TGATATGGGATAGTGGATATTCTTACACCGCCACTACACGGCTACTTATATTTACAAAAAATTAGAACATAGTGATTATATAGGCTATTTCCAACAATTATGATAGAGGATTGAAAAAAAAATATTTGCCGTTAGCAACACAGAGCAAATTGTTTAACAAAACTATTATTTGAGCATAATATTATGTTAAAAATTTAAATTATTAGTTTAATAAATTTGTAATAAATACTACGATCAGTTTCACGATATTATATTTAACCTGTTCTTGCCTAAGAGCTTAACAAGAAGGAAATCCCTTCTTTATGCTACGATCAGCGGTTCGAGAGTTTTCTATTCGCCAATCAATCCTGCCACGTGACTAATTATGGTGACTTTTTTTTTTGAAAACTTATAATGAATTAAATAAAAACTTTTAAAATAACGTTAAGGACCATCAAACGAAATGGCGATTAATTTCCTTGTTTCGTAGATTATGGTCTATAAAACAATGTGGACAATTTTATTAAGCGGAATAACGCGATAAATTCGACGTAAACCAAATGAATCGAGATTTCTTCGCTAACATTGTATTTTTATGAGATGATCGTAAAGTAAAAAAGACATGATTTGCCGACGTAATTTTATTAACCCGGTAAAGAGATGACATGTCAGTGTTTAGTGGTGGGATTGTACAAAGCTTTTTGTGTTATAAGAATGAAAGTCTTGAATCGTTAGCGTTTTGCCACAACTCTAGTTTTTTTTTTATATATATTATATTTATTATATTACTCTGTGTTAATTGTTGATAAATAAATTTGTAAAAACAAAATTACTTTAATCAGCTTAATATACAAAATGGCAGAACTAACAGAAAGTTGAACTAAACTGAAAATAAATTGTATACATTTGGTTGCGATATAGAGGTGTGCCTTTTAGTTATGTTTTAATGTTTGTGTGTTTGTTTATGTTTGTTTTAAATATTTTAATTGTTAGACTGTAGCATATAATAATTAAACTTAAATTAAAATTTTGTATGACTCGCGCTGTTGTGTTGAAATAGAAATATTAAAATAACTAGAAATGATTCACTTAATCTGATGTAAATCATTACACTACGTTGCTTGCTTTCAACTGTGTTACTTAGAACTTAAATATGTGTGTGTGTGTGTGTGTGTGTGTGTGTCTGTGTGTGTATGTTTCATTTTTATTGCATTTTTGTTATGAAAATTATACCTGTACGTGACGTTTTGAATTCCTGTAGGTAGAATACAGTACTTCAAAAATTTAATTAATAGAATCAGGCGTTACTTTGCGGAAATCCATTATATAAAAGCTTTTAAAAATTTTACTTCGCAAATATGCGCGTTATAACATAAAATGATATGTCTCACCTAGTATGAAGAGCCCCTTCCGCGGGGATAGTGCACGCAATTGAGGGAGGGCGGAAGGTGCTCTTCATACTAGGTAAGACACATCATTTTATTTCATAACGCGAATATTTGCGAAGTAAATTTTTTAAAAGCTTTTATACTTCAAAAATTATTTATATCATAATAATTTTTAAGTGACAAATGAATTTACAGCACCTGTTGTTAAGTGGCTCCCGCAGTCTATGGACACCTGCAGCCATCTTGAAACAAAGAAGGCCACAGGTGCGTTGTCACCTCTGAGGACTAAGATGGAATGCCTCACAGCCTGTAATTGCACTGGCTCTCTAGACCGGAACACAGCAGAGCGAACAGTGCTTTTTGGTGGCAGAAGTAGGTAAGAGAGTAGTACCAACCCAAACGAACTCCTATGCAGAAAATAATCCAACCCTCCTGGCCTAATTTACGAAGATATGGATGTCCTCAAATGAAACTAGATGCTCAATAATTTAAAATTTAAAATTTTGTACAGCCGACTTCAATATAAGTTATTAAGAATAACTGAAAAACTATTGGTCTGACCTTGATCAAATTTATATGGGACGACACACGAGAAGTACCAGCTTTCAAACAAAAAAAAGAATCATCGAAATCGATCCACCCAGTAAAAAGTTATGAGGTAACACACATAAAAAAAATACAGTCGAATTGAGTACCGTCTCCTTTTTGGAAGTCGGCAGAAAATTATAACAATTAACACCCAATTACTAGTGTTGATGTTTATAAAATATTGACCTTGAGCACAAATGCTTTTTCATATGCCCAAACAACTTGGAAAACACCTCTGACCACTCCCTTTAGGCACATCAGAAATGTTGAAATTATAAGCAAGCGGCTAGTGCATCTTCTTTGCTTTCAAGCCTCTTGCCTTTTAAATTTTCTTTGGTAAAATTAAAAGGCTTGTGTAGTTAAAAAGGCACAGTTTTTGAATTCAAAATGTGTGTAACGTTGTGTTGTTGTCGTGACAAAAAAGGTGGTGGATTTCTGACTTTAGTTGCTTGTCACACCTAAGTGATAATAATTTTGGGACACAAACTACACCATACAGATGATACAATCAATATATTGTTAGCATTTTCGCCGTCGTCAAACTTCTTTATCAATATTGGCACCAGTTAAGTGCAGCAGCCATCTAAGACAACGTAAAAAATAGTACCCAAAAGTTTAAGCCTAGTTATAGTAAATCTTAGTGCAAAAATCAGGTCGAATGAGTTCCATTTTCAAATTTTTCAGTAAATATCCGGCCATTCATGAGATAGACTTGCCAGGGTACAACAAATGAGTAAAGAGTTTTGAGCTTTTTTGGCATGCTTCATCCATCCACACAAAAATTTGCATCCCCGTTTTAAAGAGTGGGATAAGTAAGTATATTTTAAATGTATATGTTAACGCTAATGTGCGTAAATCAGTTATTGTGCAGATTAACTAGATTACCTGACTAAAACAGTTGAAATGCGAAGGAAATAAATATTCAGCTCTTACTTTAACTAGTTGATCTACAGATTTTGCTAGGTAATCTGCAGAAAAACGAGTAAACATTCGTTTACACAGTAGTTTCACAGTATTTTCATTTTTCACAATAGGCTAAGTTGCGGCTGGGATTGACCTCGAGCCGCGTACATTATAATGATATAAAATATAATATTGAAATAATTGATTTTTTTATTTCAAAATTCAAAAAGTATAAGTCAAAAGTAGTTTTGTCTAACATTCTTGCCCAAAATCACTATAACCCAATATTTTTGCGGATAAAAAATTTGTTGGTTTTGACCAAGGTCCTTAGTCAAAACAATGTAATAATATATAATTATTTGCAATAAAATTCTGCTTTCTGTCATCTGCAATTTAACGGTGTATCATCCATTAGTATGCAGATTAACTAGGTAAAGTGCAGATATTTGCTACTTTAAGTAAAATTTCGCACATTAACGGATCGCACTCGATAATCTGTAGATTATCTAGCTAATGCGCACATTAGTGCATTCCGCATTATAACGGTACCATATTTATAAATAAATGTTATTTTTGTATTCTTTTTTATATAACTAGACGAAATGACAACTGACAAGGAAAGAAGTTCCAAAGTGGCAGCTTCGTACTGGTAAGCAGAGTGTAAGGTGGCCCACTACTAGATGGTCTGGAAAAACATCCAGTAAGCCGATAGATTCAGGTGATTTAGGGCTGTATCAATAGCATTACTTGAAGGCGGCCTATGTTCAGCTGGACGTGTTCAATGGACTTGTAGAGGGCTGTAAGAATGATGATGACAATGATGATTCTTTTCTTATTTTAAAATTGAGACTCGTTTTGAAACTCTTATTGTTTGGAAAACTAGAATATACTGTGTCACATTAAACCGGCAGAACGAATTTATAATGGCTTTTTTAATACAATAAAACTTATTAATTTAATAAATTAAAATGACTATGATGATGACTACATATTTGTGCCATTTGCTGTAGAGACTATCGGTCCGTGGGGTCCACGTGCGGTGAGGTTCCTAAAGGAACTCCATCCGCGGCTGGTCGTTGCTACTGGTGATAAGAGGGCTGGTTCTTTTCTCGCTCAAAGGCTAAGTATGGCCATTCAGCGTTCAGCGCAAAGTTTAGTTTTAGTTTTTTTTTATTAATATTCTATATAACTATGTAATAAATAAATATGTAATAAAAAAATTAAAATATAAAATTAAATGCAACTTATTGCTATTTTTATACTATCATCCTCATCACCAGCCCTTGGAATCCACTCTATTTAATGTCAGGTTGTACATTACAAACAATTTATTGGTTATTGAAACGGCAATGACTATGTTTAAGAGTTTTGGGGGAATGCCTATGTAGACTTAAATAACATATTAAATACAAAATATAAATATTTTCATTTTTACCATTACAGCCTATAAAATTCCACTGCTGAACGTATGTACCTTCCCCATAGATTGCCTCGTAGGCATACATCCATAGTTACAACGAAAAGATACTGCTAGCTATCTCCTACTTCAGTTTCCATCTGTCGCTTCTTTACGACACCCACAGGACGATTCGGAGTAGTGGATTTTCTTACACCGCCACTGTGAATTTTTTTTTTATTAGCAAAGAATTACCTTACGCACAGTTATGGAAACACACCAATATTGCAAAATTGATTTTGCGCTGTTTTATAAACAAAGACAAGAAATTAGGCTACTGTATTCATAGGATAGATAAATATAAAAGAGGTTTATGAAAGGACGAGTTTATCCTACCCTACTCGACATTCGACCGCAAAATGTGGGCCCTACTGACAACTTATGAATAAGACAATAATGATCAACGCTGTAGAAAGATGAGAGATTATTTTTGAATAAATTGTTCGATATTTCACGAAAATAACCGAGATGCAGGTGCCAGTTCGTATAATGACATGAGCTAGTCACGCGACGCCTAAATTTACGCTAAACTTATTTGACTCGCTAACAAATTCCGTACCATCTGACCGGATATCGTGAGATTTGTGATTACACGCACATTAGTATGCGATGCTGTCAATTTTGAGATGCGTCGCGGAAGCTGCCCGTCTGTCGTGCCGACGCTCCAACTGTTCGTTTACGTTAGCATTCGGGCTCTGCCGATTTGCGCCGACCCGAGCTCGACCATGCCAGAGCCCATTCGACTAGTTACAGTCGAGAGCATCGCACGTACTCCGCGTTCTTTCTCGCGAGCAAAACTTTACTCGCACGGTCCGACGTAACGTGAATGAAGTGGTGATACTGTATCAAGTTTTTAGTTCGTCAATACTTTCATTTTATTTATTGCGCTGACAGTTTTCGGCTTTTGTGTTGTTGAATTTGTTCTGTGACTTTGCAAGTTGGAGGTGTACGGTTTATTTTCAATACGGCCGTCTGTTTACGGTGAGTGCGTGTTGAATTTCAATGCATGTTTATGTAGGAGTGTTGTCCAGCTGATTTATGTAGACGAGACGAGAGGAGATCGTGGCATGAACTGCATCGCCGACCGAAGGTCGTGCATTTCGATGCAATACATTCTGTTTCTATGTAACTCGATTTTTTTGTACAATCACCATTTCGATATTCTCACCTTTAATATTATCATAACCTTCCAAAACGCTGTCAAATTGCTTTTTATAATTTCGTAAGACAAATTTGAAGGTAAACGATATTTTATTCTTTATCACTCACGCTGGCTACAAGTTTAATTAAACTCGATTAAGAAAACAATTAAACAATTTTATCGCACTCTACCAAATGGAATAGGCACAATGGGTTTTAAATAGACTTTTAAGTAATTTATATTAATTAATAACCGCTTTGGAGTCGGTTATAGGAACACATTCACGAACTGTCGTAAACGTAAATGGCGTGCGTTGAAGTCTTTTCTAGGCTTTTCTAATTTTATGTGTTCCCGTTATGAATCTTAAAAATATAATATTTCCATTTGCATATAGCACGCACAAAAACTGGAACAAATGGGTATTAATAATCATAATTGAAGCAACTAGTACCACTGATAGCGCTAGGCTTGCAAACAACGCAAGCACAAGTGCATCAAAAGTCAATATTATCACCACTTTTGTGTATACGTATCTTGTATTTGTAGCAGCTTATTTATTCCTTGACCCTTTATTAAGTATAATTTTAGTAATATTAGTGTTTTGAATAATGTTTTGAAAGAAATAGCTAATTAGAAAAAAAAAATTTTTTTTACTTTTATAAATTTTTAATGCTTGGATTTCATGTACAGTTTACCTAATAAATATGAGAGAAGATACAGAGGTTAATTTAATCAGAATTTTATTACAATCAGAAAAAATAATCTGTCTTCGTTTTTATTATTATTATTTCAAATAATGCGAAATAAAATACATTATACATTAATAGGTAATAAAAAATAAAATACGGAAAATGATTTCAATTGATATCTTAACTTTTCGTTGATATTCTTAATTAGTAAAATTGAAACTATTTCTAGATGCCAGTTTGACCACAGGTCTGACTAAGACATGGTATGGTATGGTAGTGCGTATATTATACTTTTATGCATATAGGTTTAACAACACATACGCGCATATGATTTTAACAAAATCATATTAGAATTAAAAGCTTTTTACGAGCCTTATTGAAAATTCATTATTTTGAAAACCAGTGTAAATAATTTTTATTTACATCCAAACGTTACGATCACGGAGGGATTAAAAATTCATTATTTTGTAAAACCGGAGCAAATTATTTTATATTTATGTATATCGAAATGTTACGTTCACGGTAGGATTAAAAATTCATTATTTTGAAAACCAGAGTAAAATAATTCCTAATTACATCAAAACGACGTGTGGACGTAAGTCCACAATAGGATTTTCTCTTGTTAGTTGGAGGCCTTTTCCATACATAAATATCACACGGACACACCTCCAACCCCGGAACAACTATTCGCAAAAATTCTAAAGAGCGGGATTCGAACCCACCGCCCGGCAGCGCTGAAACTCTTAGCCACTGCGCTACCAGCCTTCCATCAATATTAATTACTACCGTTCTTTAGAATTAATTAAGTAATGATTTCTGAATTGATCTTTTCTAGGGCTGTTTTGTTTTATTGTTCGCGGAACATAATCTTTAAACACATTCAAATAATAGAAATTTAATGATTAATTACTTGATTCATGATCATTAAACCACCTGCTAATCACAATCCAAATTAACTGCGGACTGTAATGTCAGTCACTTTATTATTCCTAAATGAAAATAAAGTTCGTACCAGCTCTTTGTGCACATATTTTCCCATAAAAATGTAAACATTGATTACAAACTGTCAAACAACTAAACGTGTTTAGTCTGGGTTAAAATGAATCAGACGATTAAACATCATGTTTTATTACAAAACCTGTTAATGTACCTTTCAGTCTACATTTTTAGAACCAAATGTCACATCATAGCCAAAGTAATTAATCTAAACCCAAATGCTATAAATTGCTTTTTAGGGTTCCGTACCCGAAGAGTAACCAACGGGACCCCTATTACTAAGCTTCCGCCGCTCGTCCGTTCGTCCGTCCGTCTGTCTGTCAGCGGACTGTATCTCATAATCCGTAATAGGTAGACAGTTGAAATTTTCACAGGATGTGTATTTCTGTTGCTTAAAAATTAATGGGGCTGCCCTACTAGAAACGTGGTTTTTTTGTGGTATGAAACCCTTCATGCGCGAGTCCGATTTACACTTGCCCGGTATTTTCTTTTAGCAAAAAAATAATTCATAAAATAAAATTAAAGTTATGAAACTAAGTATTTTTGACAACACATTAAATGAAAACTATTTAGAAAGCAAAGCAATTTTGTAGAATAGTAAGTAAAAAAATATATTTAATAAAAGTCTTCTTAGAAATTAATATTTTCATTTAAATTCATTTATTAAAAGCGTCATATAAAAGCTGAACATAAAATTATACACATCTAGTCATAATAAGTAAGAGCTATATAACACATCTAATTTAATTTTATCATTATGTTTTAAAGGGAAGAAAATAAAAAAAAAATAAAGAACTTATTAATCAATTACGTATAATGTACTGACTTAATTACCTACCTAATTGTCGATGCTTTTATTTTAATTTAATGTCTATACTAATGTAAATACATTAAACAGAAGCTCGAATAGAAAAAGTAATATTTTGAGTTGTGAAAACGTAGGAAAATACCCGCCGCCCAATATAACATGTAAGGTCATTATTCGGGTTAAAATTGTAGCGACCGAGAAGAGTTTCAATCAAACAACTCCTCGTTAATATTTGTATATTCAATTGCCAAACCATCCAAGCTTAATATAATTCTTAATAATATGACACGGGCACGAGCAGTGTCCAGAGGAATTGTTCAGATTAATTCCAGCCGCCGAGTATCCCCATCGCACATCGCGACAAAATACCCGACACTATCCACACCATCTGGATGCTTGGAAGTCGTAATGGACCGCCAAGCATCTCATCTCATCATCTAACCATTTGCAATTTGTCAGTAGGTTCCTTACTCTCACGACTTCGTTGTGGAATCGTTTACCACCAACGATTTTTGACCTACTCCTTTTAAAAGGCCTGCAATACACTTATAACTCAGCTGGTGTTGCAATTGTTCATGAACGACAGTAGTGACTTACCATCAGGTGAGCCGCATGCCAGTTTTCCCCTTTATTTATAAAAAAAAAAGAAAAACATCGTAAGGAAATCTATACGTTTGAGAAATGAAATATGTTTTTCGAGGACATGATAGGTATATATACAAAAAGCACGGAGCTAGAGAAGAACTAATTATTGCCTAAACCTGTTCTTTCTACCAGAATTCCTCTGCCTAGCATTGGCACATTCATAGGCTGACCTAACCTAACCTAATCTTTTTCACTTCTGTGAAAGATATCGTAGTGTTTAGAACTTTAAAACATGAGGAGTTCGTATATAACTTCCGAATAAACCTTATCTATTATAGAGTTTTAATTTTTCGATTCTACGGATTATCTCAAACTTGTATAGAAGTCATCATTTTATAAAATTACAATTTGAATAAATTTTGTGGTCAATACTGGTAAGATATGTTTTCTGAATCGACCTTCATGTTTTTATATCTATTTATTTGAAATAAACTCTCATTTACCTTTAACACATGAAGAGCTAATAGTATTAGAATTTGTTCATTCAATGTTCATAATATTATTTACACGTTGTTTAATAATGCATGCGATCGTAACCTTTTATTAAGACAACATTTATTCGGTTGTTAATCCTAGAACACAATTTTATTACATGTTTAATTTATGTTTAATGTTTAATTTAGGTCTAGTTGGGTGTCCCAAATAAATGAAATAAAATAAATATATTTAAGTACTTACTTGTGCTTTAACCAATGTTTAGCACGCTCCTTGTCACGTCTCTAATGCAGTCCGTAATGTAAACCGAAGAGATCGTGCCGTTGCCGCACAGCCACAGATTAGGTTACAGCACAGAATAAATAATAATACAGAATCTAAGCAGATGAATACACCCATTGTACAATGTTACATTCAGTAACAATAGTTCTCGGCGCTCGATCATTTAACTACACATGTTAATAACGGTATAGTGGAATACATTACAAGAAAACCATTTCATTATAATTAAAAATTATAAATTTGGTACAACCGACTTCAATATAAACTATTAAGAATAACTCAAAACTATTGGTAAGACCTTGATCAAATTTATATGGGACCACATGTGAAGCACCAGCTCTCAAATAAAAAAAGAATCATCGAAATCAGTTCACCCAGTAGAAAGTTATGTGGTAACACACATAAAAAAACATACAGTCGAATTGAATACCGGCTCCTTTTTGAAGTTGGTAGAAAATACGGCTGACATACAAATAATTATGTTTACTAAATATCGACTATTCTCACAGTGACCTTCCGCTATGGTGCTGCGGACTCACTTCACCGGCTCCCTTATTAGCTAAAATCCCACGGTGATCACCATCAGTGCAGATGAGTGTTTCTGGAATCTCCGTCATACACAATATCTCTCAATATTATCATACTCAAGTCTTCATAAATTGCCGCATAGAGGGAATATTTGCCATAGTTACCACTCTGGGAAAATGGGTTGGCGACCGCAGATTTTTATAATTTTGAGTTGTTCTCTTGTATAGTTTCTCTATGTCCCCTTTTACGACACCCACGGGACGTTATGGGTAGTGAATATTCTTACACCGCCAATACACGAACGAAACGCTATCGGATGAAACCCCTCCCCTCCTTCGATTAGCATGACGCGGGGACACCTATTATCCTTGCAGTGGTATGACGTTAAAACGCGAGACCACTTCCGAGCAATCGTCCTCCTCGGGCATACATAACTACTAAATTGTATGTAGATCCT